TGGCCACGAATGTAATATCCGCTTTTAACGTAGTCCGTAGAGGTAAGAGCCTTCTTCACAGGCACTCTCCGGGCGCGTTTGAATTTCGCTCAACCAGTAAGTGGCAAGCCTAGGATCGGCCCTCTTTCCCTCACGTTTGAAGTACCTATGTACGTAGTCAGCGGAATTCAGGTTAAGTAAGATCATTCTCTTCACGATAGTTCCCAAGATGTAATTCTGTCAGATACCTCCGAATAGCAGATCGTTATCAGAGTTTGCCGTACGGCACAATACAGGCACCCCAGGGCGGGCAGGGCAACCCGTAAGGACGTTAACTGTGCATCGCTCCGCCGAAATTTGGTTGCATTTTTATCAGGTATCGGTGGGTACGGTATGTGACTCAGAGCCAGAGCTATGTGATCAGAATGGATTGATTGTCGACGGCGTTGGTTGGATGCTGACCTCCACGCACGTGTTTGATACTCCCTCGAAGAGGGCCTCCTTGTACCGTCTCCAGCTTACTACAGTTTCTACCCTTTTTGCACGTTCTAGTTGATACCGCTCTTTTCTGTGATCGTAATTATTTCTGTTAGCTATTTATTTAACTAAATACCTGAATAATGACGGAGACTCCCGAGAAAGTGACAATTCACGCTGAGGCTCCAGCGGAAATCCCGACTTCTACAGCGATCGATCCTCTGAGCACGCTCTCAGTTGAGGACGTGCTTGGCCATGAACCCGAGGAGAGCAGCAGCCCGAAGTGGTCCGACGTCAAAAGGGAGAAAATGATGCCCAGTGGAGGGATCAAGCAGTCGACTAGCACGCCTGGGCTACCGGTTGCGGAACAGTCCTTCACTGGAGCCCCATCACTGAATACGTCGGAGTCGTCGGCCAGTTGCACTACTGAAGATATCGGCGTTGGAGATGTTAGTGTATACGGTAAGAATGCTTCGCTCCGCTTGAAAAATGGTGCATGTTAGCATTTTTCAGGTCCTTCTTCCGATGCAAGCATTTGCACTTTGGGTGGTGGAAAGCCTTTAAAGAACAAGAGTTCTTGGGGAGAAGCATTATCGGCTGTAACAATCGGACCCAGAGCTGCCGGAACAATGCTCAAGGTAGTATCCTTCGACTCTTCCCTCGGACGCTCTCGCGTGACTACTTCATACGGCGTAGAGTGGATTTCCTGTCCTTAAAAATGGAACATGTCCTCAAGGCGTGCGTATCTAAGCTCAACGGCTGCTCGCCTCGCAGTAAAGTGCTTTAGTGGAGATTCATTGGCTTCGCCTTGGCTGTGAGATTCATCTTGGACAGAGAGCTCTGCATGATCCCCCGTTCGCTCTGTGACGATATCTCTTCAGGTTCCGCTCCGTCGTTTTATACGTCACCCTAAAAGGAAGTCGTGGAACTCCAATATGGAATCGTAAGCTGCAACCTTACCCGCCGGAAGGAACCGTTGTCTGCGGTAGGTACATCAGCGCCCTGCGTTCCGTGGGAAAGCATCTGTCGGGGATGAGCGTGAAGCGCGTGAGGAAGCTCGCCGAGAAGCCCTTGCCGAACATGATGTTGCCTAAAGGAGTGGTAGGCTCAATTGGCTTGATTTGATATTTTCTTACCATTCATCTGTTCAGTTCCGCTTCTCCCAAACTTTGAGAATCGATGGTCACCAGGAACCCCTCCAATTGAGTAGGAATCGCTTGTGGTTTTTCTAAGTTGTCACGACAGTGTTTTTGCTCAGCCTGGATGTGGCCAAACGAAATCACTCCCAAGAGGCCCCCGGAGCTCGCCGTCCAAAAAATAGGACCCAGCATCAGTGTGTTGAAGGAGAACCCTGTTATACTGTAGGACTTCACATTTTCTGACACCTCTAGCTATTCTCTTCAGATACGTTCCCGGAACTCCGTTCTGCGTGTGGGGTAATGGCGTTCACCGTCATATGCTCTATCTGTTGGCCAAGAGGGCGAAAGCTATAGTGTAGGAATTGCATCTGCCAACCGTGGAGCTATCTACAAATTCAGGTGCTGTATTTCTAACAACTGTTTGCCGCCGGCATGTTCATTGGAGGAAGGAGTCTCCGACGTCAAAGCGATGTAGGGCAGCCGCAATTTCTCAAATGGTTTCGGATTGGTTTGGTGCAGGTACAAGCATTTGATTAACGATATCGGTGTGGAACCAGGCTACGTCTCTATCGCCGGTGACTCTCTGGGCGCTGGAATGGCTACTCTGGCATTAGTCTCTCTCAGAGACGAAGGGGTAGGGTCGGTAGCTAGAGGTGTCAGAAACAAGTTCATGCTGTATTAGGTGCCATTGCCGAGCAGTGTGTGCTTGTTGTCGCCAATCACGGACCTGGCAGACCAAGTTGACACCGACTCCGACGATATCAGTTCTTCGACCACTCCCGAAGAGGAAGGCAAAATTGTCGATGATAGCAGCGCTGAGAAGTCGGCTGAGGAAGAGGAGGCTGGCAAGAGCGACAAGGCTGACGAGGAGAAGGAGACCGGCGGCCTTGGCGAGAGCGCGGTGACCAAGCCTGTTGAGGACCAGACGGAGACCAAGCCTCAGGAGACAGAGGAGCCTAAGGAATCCAAATCAGAGAGTTCTAAGGCAAACGGTGATGACAAGTCCAAGTCCGATAGTGAGGGTGCTGCTGAGAAGCCGGCCGAGACTGCCACCCCCGCCCCTGCCCCTGCTCCTGTCCACGAGCCCGTCGAGGAGGAGAAGAGAGAATGTGTTGATTACGTCCAGCGCGACTTGGTAAGAGACTGTCTGAGGAAACAAGACAATTTTTCTCAGATATCGAGCATTGCTCAATATTCTATCGGTAATTGCTGCCCTAACTCTCCCGAGGTTTCGCCTTACTACGCCGACCTTAGCGGGCTGCCCAACATGCTGGTAGGAGGAACCGTGCTTTCTGTTTTCTGAGTCGACTGGGGGATTTGCGGATTGTTTCAGATCCAAGCTGGCCAGGACGAGTTGTTCCTGCCGCAGATCGAGCGATTCGCTGCGAAGGTGTCTGCTATGAAGAGCCCCGATACACACTTTCAGTTCCAAGAGTATGAAGAGATGGTGAGTGTCACGCGCCACGTAATTAGTTCTAAGCCAATTGTCTGGCCAGGTCCACTGTTTCCCGTTATTCTCTTTCTGCACGGATGAGACTGAGGCGCCTCGTCGGGCTTTGGGGACCATGGGAGCTTTCGTAGGCCATCCAATTGACAGTTATCTCGATAACAGCCCTTCTTCAGGTTCAAGAGAGCATTAAGCCCATTGGAATCAACACCGATTCGTCGAACCCTTTGGCTTAGTGCGTGGTGTGCTGTTATTGTTTATTATACCCTTCTGTGGCCTCTTGACGATATTGTCTATCTAACCTAATGCTGTATAAGCATTGTCTCCTCTCCCAGCAAACCTGTGCCTATAGTGCTCTATCGTAGGTTACTGTTATCTCTTGTCTAGGATGCTGTCGAATTTGTATAAGTCTCTCTGTTTTGTGGAATATAACTAATCTGCAGACGACGAGGACCATCACCATTATTTTGGAAGCTATCAGCAATTCCTTTATTGTTCCTTCAGAGTTAAATATGTTTCGAGCGTTCAGTTTATGTTCGTCACGGTTCCTGGTGACCCCAATTTGATGATGCGTTGCGGAGGGAGCGGTGTGTGTCTGTTGTGATAGATCTTTTATTGTCTTTATGGGTGGGAAATTGTCCTGCTCCCCTATATGCGGCGGTAAATCTAAATCTAAGAAAGAGAAGCAGCCGAAGGTCATCAATGATCAAGTCGCATGTGATGTCTGCCATGCGGTACAAACGCTTCCGTGAGAAGGGGAAGGAGGGTTTTATGCCGTTCAAGTGAATTGGATTTCCTGTTTTCCTTGAACACGACTTGGGGTGTGGCGCACCACTTTAGGTCGTGGACTAACTCGGTGAAGTAGATGAAATGATTTATTTGTTACAGAATATTATGGCGCGCTAGAAATTTGCATCATTTATTCGCGTAGTTTTATTGAACCGACTTGCGCCCTCATTTGTAATATTTGTTCATTTCTCAGGCTTGGCGCTAACGTGTTTGTATGTTCAACGTGCCGTTCTGTAAATAGGGTCTACATGGTGTCAGGAGAGCGCAGGCTCAGCACAGTATCAGACCCAACCGTGAGCCCAAAGACGGGAGTTCCAGTATTTATTTACCATACAGGTGATTTTGGATAATGTAACAGACGTGATGCCGGCGAGTAGTGAAGTCGCCACTACAAGCATTTCCCCTTGCTCCGTGTGCCTCGATAACCCAGGAGATATGGTAGGCTGTAGCTTATGTCGCCACTGTTTGTGATGGTGCTTGATAGGTTATTTTACCCTGTGGCCACGCTGGGATTTGCCAGTCTTGCGCAGTCCATATTGCAAGTAACGAAGCTGTCGGGGGTAGTTGCTGCCCCAAATGCCGTACTGATATCGAGCAACTTGTAGGGTACTTTACTCTGAAATTCTCCACAGTGTTTTTCCCAGGTGCGAATTGGTAAGCTGTATGATACGTCTATCCAGGGTTGTGAAGTTCCATTTTCGCGACGAAGGAAGTCTCCCCCTTCTGTGCCTCCGCCACTTGGGCTGGAGCAAGCCAAGGTAGGAATACAGATTCATCGGCTGCTTTCAGTCTCATTTTCAGGGAACTGCACAGTCATAGCTTCCGTTTAATGCATTGCTACATTCTGCGAAGACAACCCTATTCAATATGAACCGAGGGCGGCCCACCATAATTTCACTACACCGCTTATACTATCTGAATCGATGCTCACTTTTTTATGTACTTGTAGTTGCGTTAGTGAGACTTCTAGCCACGATACCAGCATGTGGTAGACTAAGGTAACGCACGAAAAAAACTACGTAGAAACCATTGAATCAATGTCACAATATCATTGTTTAACAGACAGCCTTGGATACAATAATTCAAGCTGTTGGTATCCACCGCGGCGGTGCAAGAGGAGATACTCGTCAAAGTGCTAGTCGAGCGGGGCAACGTCAAAAATGAGTGCTGTGGGGTTCGAACCCACGCGGACCATGTCCAGTGGATCTTAAGTCCACCCCCTTAACCACTCGGG